ACAGTCACAGCTCCTCTCGGGCCTTCTTGCTCACACCCAGCACCATCATATTTCAGCCCTCGCGGTGGTGTCCTTTTCTCATCTGGAGAGAGAGACAGACCGTGTTCCCCCTCCTGCAGACAGGACAGTCTCCAAGAAAGTGTTGGCTTGAGTCCACTGAATGTGAGCTGGAATTCGGGCTCATATCATGGTCCCAGAGCTCCAGCTAACAGTCCCTGGCACAGGGGCAGCCCCAGTGTTCCCTTCCTAGGAAGAGGAGCAGGCAGTTTTGTCTACCATAAAACACACACCTTGAGTGTGCAGGTGTGAGAAAAGACTTCAGGCTCTGGGAATGAATTTCACAAAAATGCCTATTCCTAGGAGACGGGCAAATCTGGAGATGTCTTCCTCTCTTCAGTAGCAACAACCTAATACATCCTGTTGCTGAACATGTAATGTGCTGGCTCTTCTGACTCCTACTGTTAGGTCCCACTGCTGATGGTCCCAACATGGGTACATACAATTCGGTATCATGAATTCTGCACTAGGCACCTGGCTTGAAGAAATCGCAGCAGGGAGCATCACAAACTGAAATGGTTTTGGAGGCTTGTTTCTTTTTTGATTGGCCTGTGAAAACATAGGGTTTGTACTTCTGGTGTGTGCATATGGTTTACATATAACCTATGAAAGAGAAAAATGTATTTGTGCCTTCTTTCATTTTTCTTTTCTATTAAAGAAGGAAATCCCGAAACTCTTAAACTGTTGTGGTTTGGATTTTTTTTTTTTTTTAATTTATTTTATTTTTGTTTAATTTTACCTAAGCTCCCTGTATTTTGATTATGATTTTCAAAAGTGATGTGTGGTTTTGACCAACTTTATCTATGGCGGCCCAAAATGAGGAATCACTGACGTTCACATATACTACTGTGGCAAAGCCACGGGTAATTGCCAATTACACTTGCACATCCTGCACATTGTGGCCTTTGATTTTTTCCTGCTCTTGACACAGAACTAAGTGGAAAACTAGAAAACTGGAGTGTGAGATTTCTTGGCGCAGTGCAGTAATGCAGCTTCCCACAAAATGTTTGTCAGGAGTTCCTGCTCAGTTGCTCAGATTTTTTGAGGCAGGGAGGGAGTGGGGCTGTGAGAATCTCAGATCTCAGAGAAGTCAAGGCTTTACAGTTTTATGTAAACCTACACAGAAAAGGATATTTTGATTTTGAAGGGGAGAGATGTATTTTTCAGGCCTTATTTCATAAAACACAAATATGCTAAAAGGCACACATCTTTGAAACAGTTGCAAAAACCTTTTTCTTCATGTGAAACGACAATAAAGGCAATCCTTTGTTTTTCCCTATGCACATCAGTTTTCAAAGGATGGAAAACTACAAACTGCAATTTTGAGGACTGCATTGCACCAGCTAATAAACTTGTTTGTGTTCTTAGCGCTAACCTCTACAGCCTAGGCATCCAGATTTACATTTCAGTTTTTCGGCATTCTGGGTTTTTGACACACATAGGCAAACTCTTCACTGCACCGTAACTTTTATTTGCCACCTTTTCTTTTCACAGAGTCATGCTACAAATAATGCCCCCAAGTCTCAGCACTCACAGACAACATCTGCCCCACGAAGAAGCAGTCCCTCTCCCCATCACCAGTTCAGTTGTGTCAGTGGTAGCCACTGGAGAAACTGGAAGATGTAACTGCACCTGCCTGATCCTACCCTCCTAACATCGAGGTGCGTCCATCCCCTCCTGTGTGACCCAGCACTAAAGACTGAGATGAGGTTTGTCAGGATCCAAATCCTAGATCCATTTTCAGGGGTTTCAGTGGTGAAGCATGACAGGCAGGTATCACGGAGGGCTGGGGTAGCAGGCTGGTGGGGAAAGCAGGACTCTTGCCTGAGCTTAGGATAAAATTTCACCTCCCCAACTTGTCCAATTTTTTCCCTGCTGCCCTGGAGCCCAGTGACTCAAGCTTTATAGAGAGATGTGGATTTTTCTTGAAATTGAAATGTATAGCTTAAAAGATACTTAAAAATATATAAAATATTAAAATATAATTAATATATTCATAGGCCATCTGAAAATTTAAACAGCTATTTTAATTTGTCCTGGAATCTAGCCAGGTATTTTGACCTCATCCAGTGACTAAGAGAATTGGAAGACCTAGAAATGCTTTAGTATTATTTCCAGTGGACTGTTTTTAAATACAAAGTCTGATATTCCTTCCTCAGACATTTTCATTGACTTAGCCTAATCAGTATTGGGTGCACAATGACTGACAGTTTCACTTGATAGTAAAGTTCAAGTAAGCTGTAAAATAGTTATAAAAGAGATTCCTTAAAAAATAAATTTTACTTAGAGAGGCATTGTGAAATTTAAAAGCAAAATGCCCACGTGCTTACTCTTGGGGCCTATTGGACTACATTAAATTCAAAAGAAAGTAATCCATTTGCTACAGTGGACCTTCATGGAAGCCCTTTATGATTATAAACTGCCTGTAATCAAAGCAAATCCCAGGATAATAAATGGTCCTGTCCAGAGTGCTGGTGTAAGTATGACTTACTGATGTGTTCACCAGGCAGAATTTCTCTATCAGTCTTTAAGAGTGTCTTTTGGCTTGTTTTTTTGCTTAGCTGTAGTTCTTTCAAGAAGGTCTTGTAAGCATGACTGTTTTCAAGTCTGTCTTTTAGGACTGTTTGCCTCACATGAAATTGCTTGGAAGGCTCACCTGTTCTACTAATAGCCTAGAAACACTTTTGCTCACATTTCTCCAAAAGAAATCAAATTCACCAGTCAATCTGAAAACAAGCTTTGAGTTCTGTATCTTAAGAGATGAAGGGTGGAAGCATGCACAAATTAATTAGCCTTATCTGAGTATATATTCTGCTGTAATGACTGGAGAGTATGCTCTTTTTAATTACTACTGGGTTTATCAATAGTTTCGTAGGAATCCATTAGGAATGTCCAATGTCAATTAACTGACATGCTCCTTGCATATCATAAATTTAAAAAGAACAGTGTACACTGATGAAGAACAATTAAAGTTGGTGGTGTTTTTTTTTCTTTTTTTTTTTTTTTTTTTTTTTTTTTTTTTAATTATGAGAAGATTACAGAGAGCTGCACAAAGTTTTAAAGCACAGCTGTACCCTGGAAAATTATTATAAAATCAGCACGTTAAGGAACTGTATTTATTGCATCCCAGTGGGTACCATTTCCAGTGCACTTGGCTTACAGTGAGAAGATGACTGTCCCATTTGCTAATGCCACGGGTCAAATCCAGAAGTCAGACTGGGTTTTGCATGGCTCCGTAGCATGAGAAACAGAAATTGTTAAGTTAGCACTTGATTAAAGAGGCAGGTAAGCAAGCATTGGAAGAAGAACAGAGCCAGCTTCTGCTATTGATGAATGGCACCTGCAGGAATATTCAGTGATGCTCATTTGTTAGAATAAACATTAGCTTATTAATAATACACAACTCAAAGAATAGACAGCAAAATATCTGTCCCCTCAAGTAGAACAAATTACACAGGGGGCAGTTTCTGCCCTTGAGAATCAATGGGAATTGATTTAAAGGAACTACAGTCCTGTTAAAGAAGAACTGCAGTGGGGTGGTGGATCTTTCCTTGCTAATCCCACACGATCCCCAGTTAGTGGCTGTTCTGTGAGCCAGAAATAATCTCAGAAACAAAACATATTTACTTCTTGGTTGCTATGAGCACATACCAAGGCTTTGGAATGATGAAGTTAGATCAGTTGAGCAGCAAAATATGATAGCTATCTTTAAAAATGTTCCTGCTTTGCACTTGATAAAGTTATTTCAGTATTTGCATCTTTAACTTGTTTTTTCTTCTCTAACTATAGAGGTTATTTCAATATCCAGGTGTTATGAAAAGGAATTTTTTAGTTTTGTACTATAACATGAGAAAAGTAAGTCTGTTAGATAACCTGAGTGTTGTCTTCTTTTACTGTTGGGGTTTGCATATGAGACTCATAATCACAGGAGGAAAATGGAAGCAAGGAAAAATATCAGAACAGTATCTAGTAAATTCTGCAAACCTGGTAGAATGAATCTTTGAAGAAAACAGACCTATCATAACATGCTACACTTACTGATCATGCATGAGGCTATGGATGACTCCATAGTGATTTCTGTTGAAATCAGGGTGATACTGTTCCTGCTTCTAAACAAGCAAGAATTGATGATAACTTCTAATACAGCCGAAAGTCCTTCAGCAGTAATTTCCATGATGAGCTGAATGACAGAATACCTGAGCATGAACAAATACTGTGAAGGCTCACCTACTCTAAAAATTCACAACTGTTCCCTAATTAGGATAAGGCCTCTACCACATCATCTACTGATCTCCATCTCCTCTATATTTTTCCTGCTCTACACTTTTACAAGTGCACACCACCCCATGTATGTGCTCCTCAGCTGTGCATGAGTAAGTTGATCTGAGGACTATTAGCACTAACGGAACATGCACCTGCAAATCCACTATTGGCTTATGGACGCACTGCATGAGAAACTGAGAGCATGAGGGAATGAACAAGCACTTGAACAACACCAAGCCTATAGTAATCCGTATACATAAAATCCCATCTTCTGAGCCTATTTTAAACCTTATGTTTTTTTATGGAAGCCATCTGAAACTTACCCTCTGTAAAGAAAATAATAAAAAAACAGTTATTTGACCTATAATCTATTATAAAGAACTATGATTTCAAAATGTAACAATCACTGGCATAACAGCCATACAAAATCCTTGTCTCCCAGGCCTCAGTTTGAGACACTTTTGTATCTTATTGCTAATAAACAACTCCTCTCAATACCAATGAAGGTAAATCTAAGAAGTATCTTTCACTGTCTCCCTTTGTGTTCCAGTTAGTTTGTAACATACCTAGAATTTTCTCAGTCAACATCATTCCTAGAGGAGAGAGTAATTGCACCATAAATAGTATTTTGGCATTAAGGTCTGTTGGTGTTTTGTTTTTTTTTTTTTTTTTTTTTTTGCTGTTAAAAGACTCTGCTCCTTTCTTTATCCACTGAAACAGCAGGGGCAGCTTTTCCACAGTGTTTCACAAACATCTCTTAATCCTGACTGGAGGAATCATTTCTTTGCTTTTGTGTCTTTTTGATCTCTGGCCTTCCTGCTAAGGTTACCAGTGGAGGTGCTTCCATAAAACGTATGTACAGATTGCTCATTGACGTACATACACATGCACCCTGTGCAGACGAACTGGAGGGGGCTGTGACAGCACCCTGTTTGAAAAATCTGTACCAGGAGTGGGTACAGCCAAGCTGTGAGCTCATGCCAAGTCCTGTGTTGCTGTAACCATGTTCTTCCAAGTACCAGAGTTAGGTTAAATATTAAACCACTCACTCGTTCCTACCGATTTTCATAAACTGCAAGTGTACTAACCTACATCCTTCCTGCTTATGAAAGGACTTAAATGCTTTGCTGATCACAAGCCTTTCTTTATTCAGAGATCAGGTTTGATAGAGGCAACATTATATTTTTTTTTTTTCCCTTCTGCTTCCTGTCAAAGTAGCTAAAGTCCACCTGTGTGTCAAAAGCAATAAATAAAATATTTTCTCCACTCATTCACTCAGTTCTTAGTGCTGTTAGTAAATGCAGTATCTGTTTTGTTACAGTCATTTCTCCAGGATAAAATGTTCCACAACCAGCGCAGTCATCTCAGAAATTAAATTGTACTGCTGCTGGCCAGAATGACTTTTTGGTTAATAAGGAAATAGAGGACCAGAAGGAAATTTGCCCAGTTCCCCACTGACAGTAACTGGAGCTGTCTCAATCCCAGCAATCCTCTTTTAAATACAACTCCTCACATGTACAAAACAAATCAAATGGATGAATGATTCATAAGATGAATGATGAAAGCTTAGCTAGAATGAATTTACTAATGTTGCATTTCTTCTAGATCTCTCTTACCAGTGTGGGCACCATGCTGAACACAGCTAACAAGGACTTTTTTTTTTTAATCCCTAACTGATTAATGTTTGCTCACGGGAGCTTGATTACCGTATTACAAGTCACAAATTTGCAAGATTAAAAATGTCTGTTGAATTAATTAGCTGCAAATCAACCTAAGCAAAGCTTGACAAGTTCCAAGCTGTTCCAATAAAATAAAAAAGGAGGAATTGATAGCAGCCACAAACACACGACAATATGCTGGCACTTTGCGACTACAAATAGTGGCAGCTGCCCCCTTTGCTGACAAAAGAAGATTTTTCATCGTCCATACAGTGCTGTCTAGAGGCTAAATCCTGCCCAGCTCGGTGTGGCATTCTCACTGATGGCTGAAGTGTTCTCAGTGAAATATCTCCCGTGGGCCAGCCCAATAACCCAGGGGGAACTGGAGCTGGAAACGAGCTGCCTACTTTGTTTTCCATTTCAGCAAGAGCGAACACCCAGAGAGCCGGTGCTGGGAGTGATCACAGCACGCGTGGGTGCTGGCTGACACGAAGGCTACGTGTGTCCTGAGATGGAAATGCAGGGAACGAGGCTGGGAGTCATTAGGGACTGCTTTTAACTTTCTCTCTGTAGCTACTGTTGTTGTCTGACCCAGTCACTGCGAAAATTTTAGATCTATCTGTCCATCAATCAGATCCTGCTGGAAAGTTACTATATTTTTCAAAGACTATCCTTGATGCTGAATGGTGACTCAGGTCAGGAACTCAAGTCATATACTTGAACTTCAGTGCAGCAAGTTTTTTCACTGGCTAATAATCTTTTCCTCAACTTCATAAAATTTATAACTAACTCTGATTGAACACTGTCTAAGAAACAATCCGGGTTACACAGACTATAATATAGAATACATACTGAAAAAAGCATCAGTAATTAAAATTTCAGAAATAGCCACTATGCATGCATGATACATTTAAATTGACAGGGGTATTGTTTTCAAATACATGCATCTGAAATTTATCCTCAGTAGGTAATCCATGAACTAGCAAATCTTTCCTTCTGACAGCATGTATCAGGCAACTACACATGTGTTCGATAACAAACACTATCCAGTGTTCTTCAGTCAAAATTCAAGTAAACCATCCTAATTATTGCAGGTTATTTCCTTCATAAACTACTGACATTGGTAACTGATAGTGAAACAAATGCAACCAACATTAAATGAAACGAAGGTTTAATTGATCCCTTTGTCATTTGCCTATATGTTTTTTTTTTCTCCTTTGATTAACTAAATGTGATAAATCCTCATTTATTTTGTACAAATCTTTTATTTATTTCCCCTCTCCAACTCTGTTCTTTTACCTAAATATTTAAGATGATGAAATAAAGCATTAGACATATTTCCTCCGCAACTTTTCATTAAAGTACTGGCATAATACATTGCAAAGCTGTCTCTAATAATGACTGGAATGTGTTTTCCAATAATGTAATTTTTTTTCAGTTATCATTTGATTACCCTTGATGACCATGCTCCTGATGCTTTTTTTTTTTTTAGGTTTAGAATTTAAATGAACTGTAAGATTGAATCCTAATAGAATCTCAGGACTCATTGTCATGTGTATACACACACACACACACACACACACATACATATATATACGTGTATATATATATAGAGAAAAATGCATTTGATACTGTAAATTTGTTCCCAAGTATGAGACATGATCCTACTATTTTTATCATGACAAACACTTTCACAAAGAGAACTCTTTATAGCATGCTCCAAACTGTGGGCACTGAACTTACTTCTTGCATTCACCATAACCTGGGCAATTTGCACACAACTGTGGTTCAAACGTACTGTCCAGAGAAACCGTGTCTGCTGCACATGCTTCACTAGACAGCACAGAGCCTGTTTGCCCTTTGCTCAGCCCCAGGTGATCTTTGTTTGGCGAAAGAACTGGGCTTGCAAAGGGAGGGCCCCACTGCCTCGGGGAACTATGGATGAGCTACAGGGTGTAGCTCTGGGGCACGCACAAAGTCTGCCTGAGCTCCAGCAGAAAACCAGGTGAACGTGGCCAGAGTAGCACACAGTGCATTAAGAGACCTGATTCAAGACGTGTGCAGAGATTCAGGCTTTGTCACAGTGCTAACCATGTTCATACAGCTTTTGGTCAGGTTGGAAGGTGAGCAGAGTGGTTTTGCATCTGCCTCAAATTTTCACTGTAGACATTACTCTGGCTGGACGCAGGCAGTGGCACTGGACATGTGCAGCAACCTCAGAGTCCTCCGCTCCCCTCAAGGGGACTGAATACATCAAAATACCAGAAGTATGTCTACATTGCACCGGATAACCTTTACATTTTCCACAAAGAGGAAGAACAGCCTCAAAATATGAGGGAGGGAGCATGCCCTTCTTCACAGTAGCGTGCAGCCCTACAGCCTTCCCCTGAGAGATAGTAGCTAGAGATATGAATCATTGTTAACTGAAGAGATCACGGAGCCTGGCTCTCCCCTTGGTCTCTGTTTACTACAAATCTACTGCTGGAAAAGCAGTCATGAGTACTTCTGTGCAAAGCTCTGTCTGATAGCATCCCAGAGGACCCGAGTCCTTCAGGTAGGATGGGCAGAAGAATACTTGCTCAGGGGATACTGGCAGGCTTAGGTGGGAGGTAGGAGCTGAGCTACTCTGTACTGTGAAGACCAAGGTGTTTCTGACCAAGTCCAGGAGCCAATTTTCGGCGCGTGAATGTCTAGCATAAAAAGTTCAGGAGCTCCTGGTTAGTGCAGTTCGGAGGATCACAGTATTAGTCCAAGGCCCCCAGTGTGCCTGTTCTGACCTCTGCACATGTGCCACAGCATGCCAGGTATCTGCTCCCCGTGTGTTGTGGCTTTAGTCCAGCCCATGCATGTGATTTTCCTCTCTGCGGGCTCTTTGGTGCATGAGGTGGGGGAGAGAGTGCTGGACTATGACCAGGCCTTGCCCTGAGTGGACTCATAGCACCCAAACGTGGCCTACATCTTGCCTTACCACTATGTTATGCCTCTGAAGGTTCTTCAAGACATTCAACCAGCAGCTTTTTTACCTCGAGGAAATCACTTATCAGAGAAATTCTTTTTCGCAGTTCCCTGTACACACTAGGTGGCTGAGTGGACACACCTATTTCACACTAGAAATGCTTTTGTGAGGTTCAGTTCAGCGCAAAAAAACCCCAAACCAACGCTTTGTTAAAAGCACGTGGACTTTCCTACAGCAGAACGGATCTTGTGTAGAAAAGCTGTTAGCATGCCTACAACTACTGCATGCCCTGAAGTAAGATCCAGAAGCAATTGCTTCCAAGGATATCTGAAATAACAGGCTGAAATCTACAGATACAGCAAATGTTTGTATCCACAGCAGTCACGTCTGTCTTTCTATGAATGTAGCATCTAGTTACATTGACAAATCCTTTACATTTTGAAGTTTATCCCAATCATTCCTGGAAATGATATTTTTGGTTATACTTTAAAGTTTCTTGGCTGTTTTTATTTCACAGTGCCTTGCACATAGAAGTTTAGATTTGATCTATTAGTTGGTTGCTTATCTCACAATTTCTTGTAAACCTCTGTCAATGAATACATCTATAACTCAAGCTTCTCTCCTACCTCTCTAGCTCATGCAAATCACCCCATAAATATGCTGAAGAGGACTTTTTCCCCATCATCTTGCATATCCGTCCTCTTTGCTCTGGGATTTGGAGTAGGCACATGGCTTACTAAAGGGTATACAAGATCTTCTGCCTAAGAGTTAAATGCTAAGCATTCAGAACAAAACGTAAGTACAGGAGCCAAGCTTACATGTTTAGAAAAAGTTCTTTTTAATGAATGTGCTGGTCAGCGATTGGTTTTTGTAAGGATTACTAGAAGTGACTCGTTTCAGAGATATTTTTCAAAGTCTCCTTAAAAGGATCACAAAATGGCCACTCGGTCAAAATGGGTATATTCTTAAATGTTTGATCTAGAAAGGAAAGAAGAAGTGTTTTGATTCGTGCTGAGTTAGCACTAAGCTTAGAGCATGTATTTCTGGTGGAGCCAAGTGACATTCAGGCTCTTTGGTATGAAGCAGATCTCCAGCTGACTTTGGTTAGGAGCTAGGAGGTGAAGACTTTCATTACCGTGGTCTGAATTCATGCAGTTATTCAGTCAAGGCCAGGAGCCTGATTTTCTCATATTCATCCCAGTGTAGGTGTGAAGAAAGCCCACCAATCACCCTCAGTGAGTTCTCTGCAGTAAAACAAATGGTCCCAGTGGAACCCCCATGGATTAAAAAAGCTTTGTAAATGATCGGTAGATTAGTGACACTACTCCCCTAGCCTTGTGCGAGCAAGGCATTACAAGGTCATCTCTGTCTCTCCTGAATGAAATCTGCTCATACCAGATGTGAGAAATCATCTCAGGAGCAGATCACTCAGCAATCTGCAGTCAAGTGAAAACGATGATGGAATTTGTTTCAAAAAATCACTATATGTGAACTGCAGTAATCTGTTGTTTTTTTAATTCCCAGATTTAAAAGAATCTGTTCTCATTTTGCATTGTATCTGTTTTATCAGAATAAAGAGGAATGGATTCAATGCCATACCGAAAAGACATAATTCTATAAACAATCAAGGGAAGATTTTGTAACATAACGTCTCTGGTATATAAATGGCTGTTTGCCACTTACTCCCTTTGGCTTTCTGCTGGGAGCACGGGCTTCATGTGAGATAGTCTAATTGCTACAATTAGCAAAATTAAATGGCTTATTGTGTATTTAGACAATTCTTCCCATGTTCTGCATTGTTATACTACAGAATTAGTAATTAAAGTGTTGGGCTTGTAAGTTCATGGACATGTGATTATTTTCATCATGCATCTCTTGTAGGGGCTCAACTTAAATAAGCTTATTTCCATGGATGCACAACTGCAATTTACTCTGCTTCCCACCATGCACAGGAGCAAGAGAGGCAACAGTTAGGACCCCAGTAACCTGCTGAAGTCTTTTCCTTGGCATTATGCGGGCAGTGCAGGGGATGCAGAGTAAATCACAGCATCTCAGTCACTCTGGATTGCATGACTTCAGGGACAGAGCAGAGAAAGGGCAGTGGCTTTGGGAGCCGAATCACTGGTAGAACCAGCTAAATTCAGTACAGCACCACTTTTAAGGCTCTTAAGGAGTTGTGTGAACAAATCACAAACACTTCAAAATTGTTTTATTTGGGCTGTAAAAAAAACAACAGGCCAGTTGTGAGTATTTGCTGACCAATAAAAAGTAAATGAATATATTGTGTGATTAGGCGTCCCTTTCCAAATAAAGCAGCACTCATACTTTTAGTACCATTCATGAATTGTTCTTCTGGGGAGATAATGATATATTGGCTAGACTACCATATGTTTTAAATGAATTTGGGTTTAATAGCTATTCACCACATATTTAAAAATTGCAGCTCAAATATAATTTTAATTTACCTCCTCTGCTTATAAGTTTACAAAATCAGGCAGCCGAGGCCCAGCATTTAATTTTGGAAGGAAATTTTTCTCTAATGTTATAGAAATTAATTAATAGAAAACGTGTTGATTTGCCAGTGAAAATATTGTTTATATGCCATCAAGCCCATATAACCCCAGTACAGAATCGTTGTTCTAGCACAAGAAGCATATTTAAACTGACATAAACAAAAGTGGAAACCATTTTTTCATTATTAAATCTGCAGGAAAAAAGTATTGCACATTTTCAAATAATTAGTATTTTTTAAAAATTATCCCACTATAGAACAAATAACTTTTAAAATAAGACAAAAGGTTTATCTTACATTTTCTTATATGTTTTCTGAATGAACATGGGTATGCATTACCTCTCCTTTATCTAGAGTAGTGGATACTAGTTAAATTGTCTTTTCTGTAACATACAAATCCACAACTCTCAAAATTTTAGGACCAAGTCTTTAACCAGATAAGCTCTGTTAAATGTGCTGGCAAAATTGTTTGGTTCATCAGAACAATGCTTACATAACTCTTACTTATAGAAAGAGATGTGATTGCTTTTCTTTACCAGAATATAATTATGAATTCTTTATTATCCTGTATTCTGGAATGAAATTTAAAAGACCTGATTTTTTTTTTTTTTTTTTTTTTGCTATTGCTGTCTTAACTGAACTTTATTGATTTTAAAACTGTTTATGGTAAAAAGAATGGTGCATATTGGTTATTAACTGTCTATAAGGCCATCATGGAATTTCAACGTGGACTATGTTAAATCTTGACAATTTCTATAAAAAATTCTTACAGCTTTTAATGCGACTATTCACAGAAATTCAAATTATGAAACTGGCCGCATAGTCATCTGAACATTAGGCCACCCTGTTCTCAGTGCAAGTATCACTGATGTTACAAATGGAACAGAGCAAGATTTTGGAGACAAGATTTTAACTCAGTGTAAAATGACTTCTCCCCCTTCCTCAAACAGCCAGATTGAATTCTGAAGACAAGGTATGTATATCTACTGCCACGTATGGTGTTGTGCACTCAGACCCTGCAGTAGCTTGCTTAAGATAAACATTTTTACAAACAGTATTAACAAAAATTAAAAACGCTGGGAGAGCAAAGAAAGTAAATGGATAAATAACACCTCAGTGTCCTTCCTTCCAAAACCAAACAAGAGCAAATCAAACAAACTCATCCCAAACCTTCTTCAGAAACCTTGCAATGCAAGCACTGGTCCAGACTGTAACCCTTTAAATTCTGTACGAAGCAATGTTGGGTTCTGTAAGCCCTGACTAAAGGGCTCACAGCTGCGAGGAAGAGCAAGGCAGGATGCAAGGGACATCAGTAGGGGACAAGCCTCGCTGACAGCTGCGATGCTGCCCCTCTCCCCAGGAGGAAGGCGAGAGCTCAAGAGCACTGCCCCTGTGCCCCGCTTCTGCTAAAATTTCTGAGTTGCTACAGCAGCGGCAAACGCATCAAACTGTTTCCACATCTAGGACTACAAAGCTTACCTTTTGCCTTGTTTGTAAAGAAAATCAGCAATTTTCTTGTGTGAGCTAGTGTTTGATTCTGGAGTGAAGGCTTTACTGAATTTGATGGGACAAAGGACTTGCTCCTAAAATCTTTTTTTAGCAGTTCTTGCAGTGGTATATTTTCTGACAAAATATGAACGTTTTTCACTGAATAATCAGCTGTAACTCCATGGAGGGAAAGACAATCACTTTGTACAGAGCTTCAGGTTTGGACTATCAAAGAATTATTTTATTTAAAAAATTATTATAGAGGCAGCTGGCCACTGCTTAATTTGAAAATACCTAAGAAACCCTTGAAGCTTGGGAGTTTTCTAATCTGTGTAAAGTTCCCTCTGCCTTGCAGATTCCTGTACTTTCACAGATGTTTTGTTCTGTGGAACTCGCCCCAGCAAAGAACAACAGGTATCGAACATTTCACTAATAAAAAAAGTCAACATTAAAAATGGCTAATTGAACGCATACAAATAAACACAGTCTGTGTAACCTTGGCCATTTCATAGTACAAATATTAATAATAGGAAAAGACAGAAATTTGCCTGGCAGCATATACAGCAGTGACTACATTGGATATACCTGACAGTGAAGATTACAATACCAATCATCAGGTCTTCTCCATCCTGACAAAGCCATTTACAACAGTAACTCTTCAGTTCTGCTTCACTCTCCTAAAGTGGATGGAAATAGTTAAAGCAAATTGTTTCTTATGGAATCGCTTGGTGTCTTTACAAGCCACTTACTTTTGAAGCAGGATCCACGGTTTATAGAGTATTCTAAAAGTACCCATGTAGGCTTTCATATAGCATTACACTGCAAAACAAATCCATAATGTGTGAAAACCAGGTTTATATCAACCTGCAGAAGCCAGTTGATAAAATTCATGGACCAATTCTTAAAATCTAAGCTATAAAGAGAATGAAATGTATTAAAAGATTTGAGGTTTATAAAAAGTAACCTTTTTATACCATATTTTTAGTTTACAAAAATATTGAAATAATTCATGAGTTTTTCACTCTGCACCAGCTTTAAAAAAAATACTATCAAATTTTGACTTGCACCTTTAATGCATCTGAAAGCACCATCAGGGGATACTTTTAACATAAAGGAGGATACCATTGACTAGATTTAGGGAGGTATTTAAAACCCAAAAGCTTGCAGCAAAAGCACTCTATTACAAGAGATTCAATGTAATTTTTTGACATATTTGAACACAAGTCTTGAACAGGCAGAAGAGGGTCTTCCACTTAATTTGCTTATATTATACTTCAGTGGATATACTTACTAAGAGGTGACTGAAAGCCTTTAAAAGACATCACTTTCACCTTGGGTGGGAAAAATCAGAGCTGTCTCTACACGTTGAGAACTTGATTGGTCTTTCCTGCTTCTTGTTCTGGTAGGGCTCGTGCCACTCGTTATCTGTCCCTCAGGCAATATCAACCTTGCAGTTATACAATGTTTGGCACTAGAAGGGTATGGCACGTCACAGTCTCTTGTCACCCCTACATACATTCACCCACTGAATCATGCATTCCCAGTCCTGAAACAGAGAAGTTTCAGCGTGTTCATCTCCTTGTAGTTTCTTCTGAAATATCTGAATGGGCTCCTCCAAAAGGTTTAGAATACGAAAACTATACTTCCCTGTTCTTTTACATATACATCTTTTTTTTTTTTTTTTTTTTTTTTTTTTTTGCAAATTGAACACTGAATCATGATTATCATTTAATTTACATCACTACGTGCTAGAGCTCCTTATTTCTCCTGAAAACCAGAAGTGAGCTGCATAGGATTTCTGTTGAAAGTAACATAAAGAACCTAAATAGCATTTAAAAAGACGTTGAAATTCCACAGAAAACAAACAGTTCTGGTAGTATTAATGTTTATGACCTAATTACTCAGAATTTAGCTTCCACTGATAGCCTTACAAACATGACAATGTATCTTTTTAATTAAGAACTATTTTGCAAACCTATTCTACCCTGAATGGTTGGTTTATGGGAGTGTTGAAGACTACTATGCTCCTATTTTTTCCCCAGAAAACAGTTTTCATAACAGCAACACCGTGTGCTACAGTTTTGTTATTTTTGAAGAGGGTTTGTTTGTTTTTGCCATTGATTATGCAAATATCAATCATTCATTTCTAAAATAAAATGCACTACTGGTTAAAGTTGAAAGCTCTGGTCAGAGCCTTCCTTTTGTTTTGATTGTAAGTACTGTGCAGTCAGAGTTTCACAGCAGCAAGGAGTCGTGGGTGAGTTTCCCCAGCTGAAGCAACTGATCTGGACATGTGGGTCAGGGTTTGGGTTTTTTTTGAGGCTTTCAGGTGATGCTGCTGTATCCGTGTCCTGCAGACAGACTGCACACAGTGGATCAAATGATAATCATGATGATAGCCAGACTAAGAACACTACAGCTTGCTGCTCTACTTGTAGTACGCAGTTTAGTTAATCCTACAGCCCTACTGTCAACCCCTAATTTGGACTGTAACATTGGAGCTTCTTCAAGCTGCGTTTTTGTTTTGTTTATAATGTGGTTTCATATTCCAAGCGCTCCTGGATAAGGGCATCATCTTTATACTGTAGCCGTGGAGGAGCAGGGGAACATTCAAATGCTAAGATTGCCTTTCTCAGGCTCCTGTCCAACACGTGTCTCTCCCACGCTGGGTACCTGTTCCTGAACAGATCGATTTTAATGACAGACTCCTCAATCCTTGGTGGCCGGGATGAAGGTGTGGATGGCGCGGTGGGTCTCACCTGAAACACAGGCACACACCCATCCCTCTCTGCGAATTTTTGATCCCGCTCGCTCGTGACACTCCGGTTGTTGGAGATGGACCGTAGAGTGTTTGTTGCCACTTCTGGGGGAAGAGTGAAGGCGGCGGCAGGGTCCTCACAAGCACAGCTTGGCGACTGACCAAACCTTGGTCCGTTGGGGTGAAAGAAGGCATAGTACATTAGCATAAAAACAATGCCTGTTAAAAAGCTGCTGAACACTACGCACAGTGCTGGTATGGCAAATGCATCAGAGATTGGTGGGGCCTTGTACAGATACCAGAGAGCACTCAAGGCGGTGTTTTCTAAAAGGATCACAAAATAGTAAATGAAAAGCCTACAGCGTGTCCTTCCTTCCTTGACATTGAACCAGCTGAAGATATAGATTATCCCAACAACCATGTCAAAAACTATCTCCTCCCATTTAGTGATGCAAAACTCTGTCTCGCAGTGGACGATCCAGAAGGTCATGATGCACCAGTGCAGCACGATGAAGATCCCAAAGTACAGCTGGAAAACCGAGGCAAACAGAGCAAAAGTAATGACCCTTGCTGCAATTGTGAAGAAATGCCAGCAGAACTGGATGATAACAGCCATATAACTGATGGGTTTCTTGTCATCACGGGAGTCACGGAGGGCCTTTTGGTAGGACGCCAAAGCCCAGGCCAGGGATACGAGAGATGCTGCAGCAGTAAGACCTAGGAGGAAACAGGAGATGCAGTTAAGGCATAATTAGTATATCAGCACTTGGTTGGAACTGGTAACATCTTTGCTGCTTTAAATGTGTTCTCCACCACTGACATGATAAAATCTCCTCCTTCTCCTTTAGCGCGGCCAGTATTGAGAAATGGACCTCCACTGCTGCAACTTCATTGCCCTTACAATGTTCAAGACGCGCAAACAAGAGTGGCTATCGAACTACACCCTGAAACGCTTCTCTAGCAATTTTATGTTTGAAACTAATTAATTAATTCACAACTCAGAGCAAGTCAGGAATTGGTATCTCTGTCAGCTGTGTGATTTAACAGGATTTACTGTGGTGGCTGCCTTAAAGAAAGAATAAGAATTTTCTGATTTTGATAAGTTATTAAAAAAGCCTAATATAAAACAAACAAGTCTTTCTAATTAAAATTCCAGCATCATATACATATAAACTAAATCGATAACAACGTGAGCATAAATCTTCATTTTTAAAATAAATTAATGTAATTCTTGTTACATCACAATTTAAAGTAACTGCTTTACTCTTGCTGAGGAAAAAAATTTTGCCTGTTTTGATATTTCCACCACTTTTAAACAGAATTTGAATGCACAGAAAATGTCAAAACTTTATTTTCTTTCAGTTGGAAATTAATTTTAGAAATGTTGGAATTTTCTATTGCATTAAAATTCTGAGTATGAATGCCCCTAAAATAGGCAGTTACAATTCAATGTTCACGCAGCCATTCTATCTCTCATCTGTCACAGAATTGCCTATCTATAAGGCCCTGAACTATAATATTTCTGGAAAACCTGTCAAATATTTTTCACAAAAGCAATTGCATATAAAATTATTTCTTATGAGATACTCAAACCTTTTTGTGAAAATGATTCCTATTAACTTGAAAATAAAAAAATTAAAACAAATTTAAAAAACCAAAACTTTCTATGCTTACTTTGAATGTATATTATACTTTTTTCCTCAGGTGAGTTTGATTGTTGTCGGTAGGTAAACTTGAAAAAAAGGTTGCTTTGCAAATGAATCTAATCTTTAAACTAATCTGTTACTTCCATACGCTACCAGAAAAATACCTTACATTCCCATTTAAGAGGTGATATAGTTCAGCATAATTATTCAAATGCTTAACAATTACATAGCATTCTGTTAGAAATCTTCTTTACTAGAAGATTAATTCTTATTTACTTACAACTCATATCAAGCTGCTTTGGATGAAAATGGGAATTCAACTAAAATGCAAAACACCAGCCTTTCAAGTGTATTTATTATTTAAATAAAATTGCAATAAATGTGTTGTATACTGAGGAAAAATGCAGCAAACATTTTATACTTAAAACTGGTTTATTACCAAAGTAAATTTTATATACAGTTAATGAATAAATTCATAAGTATCAGCATCCCAGACTAAGAATATATTCATAGACCATTTAAAGATAATGATGCTTCAGCTTACTCTATTTCTGAGCAGTTTCTTAACTTTTAATTAGTTATTCAAGTAAAGCAAACTGAAATGAAGAAAACATTTATTTTTTCTTCTGTTAAAAGCTGTTTAATCATTTCACCAACCTTTGGTTCTGGATGCATAGGCAGTATTTTTCCTTCCTGTTCAATAGCTTTCTTTAGAACTCAACCATGAAGAATATGTTACTTACATATTATAAATTTTATGCAAATTTGTTAATACAGAGTGGTAAATTTATGCCTAAATACATGTTGCTGTTCACTTTTGAAAAAGAAGTTTATTTTTAAACCAGAAAAATGTAGGTTATGGAAATAATATCTGATTCCGGAGGAAAAAAATCTATTTAAGCAGTCCACCTGACTTAACGCACTAAGATTTTTCTCACAAAGTAGTACAGAGGGATTCACTGCTTTCAGGAGGGCTTGTGTTTGCTAGTGTTTCTCCCCCAGTCACTGGCAGGTTGCTAATTATGTTGTGAGCTCCCATGAACCCATGAATTTAAAAAGCCTTTGTTTTAAAAATAAAAATAATAATAAACAATCAGCAGAAATATTGAACAAACTTAGGCTTCCAAGGAGAAATTTTTAATAAAACATCATGATTTTCCTTCCAAGGCAAATGCCTGGATGCCAAAACACCAGTGTTACTTCTGGAATTCATTCTCCTTCACGGAGAGAATAAACTATCAGCAATGAAGACAGGAAGGAGACATGGTATAAATTGTTATTTTCATTTCTGACATGTATATTTGCTTTTCATGCTTGGCTGCCTTTCGGTGACCATTATCTCTGGAGACAATACTAACAGCTGAAAATGTAAGTTCTTGTTTTCCTGTAGGAATGCTTTAACTACTGAAAAAACACAGTTCATTTCCCTTATGAAATGAAAAGCTTGCAAAGGTAGATGAATCGGATAAAGGATAAGAGAATTTTTCAATACAAATGAACCACTCTGAACAAGAGCTCAAAAATAGTATTATCAGCACAGGAAAGAATAATGTGAGAGAGAAAACCATATATTTTCTTTGCAAATCTAACTTTAATGACCCCACATACTCCCCTGGAGGTTTGCAGAGATATCATCAGTTCTGCATTAGTAGATGTAAAATCATTCAATAATGCACACAGAATGTTTCAAATGAAATGTTAAAATTCATAGGAATTTCCAGTGTTCTAATGCTAATTAATTCATAGTCATTGTCTGAGAGAGAAAGAAGCAAGTACAACAGCAGCGTAGTTCTGTTATTTAAATAGTCATTAATGAGGAAACAGAAGGAGCTCAGGGATACTAGCATACAGGGGAGAAAAGGAGACAAGGGAACGTATAAAAGGAAAGAACTGCCAGTTAAAATAGTATGTATCTACTCTTGTGCTATTGGCAGTGGTGTTAGGGATATAGAATTAAGGTAAGTTTAAACACTTCATGGGTACCATCCATTTTTCTTTATTGATGAGACCAAGCACTAAAGAATTATTAAAAGTATAAATAAATAATAATGAGAACAATAATGTAAAAGTGATGCAAATGGCCATTTGCTAATAAACATCACTATATAAATAATTCACTGGGAATGGTGAGAGAGAAAATGAATTATTGTAGCAATGAATGGATAATAAATCTATTAAAACATAATCGTGCATTTGCTGAGTATGTGTTCACATAGACCTCTTTATCCCTATTTCAAAAGAAGAACTAAACCAAATTTCTATTACTATCAAACCAAAACTTTAAACGTACTAACATGGCATCAGGAAAAAAGGATGTCCTATAGACCTTATGAAAAACAAATAATTTGTAACAGTGCGGATGGGTTTGCTTCCACAGTGGGGAAGGCTTATTTGCCATTCAGAAATTAACAGGCCGTTCACGAAGAACAAGAACCAACTTTCCTGCTCGCTCAGCTGCAGCCTCTGCACTCTCTTTGGGTGTTGCAGCAGTTTTATGGTGTTTTTGACAGTCTTGTATATCAGTCTTATATTTAGGGTCTTGACCTTGGAAATTAAGATTAACTAGCCATTCTGAGTGAATATATACGCAAGAAACTATATGCTCATCCATTACAGACTGTTAAAGTCCAGGCAGGAATTCTGTAAAATGGCCTTGGGAAACATGAAAGCATGTTCCTGTTTGTTCCTCTTCTAAAGTTGAAACTCGACATTTTTTTCTGCAGTATATGATTTGGTTTCTAATGTTCTGTCCTGAAGAAGAAAGAAATACAGGCTTTGGACAGAAAAAGGATCATTTCACATATTGCATCAGGCAAATGATACTTTTGTTTGTTTCTGAAATGAGCAGCCAAAAAACTTTGAGTAGTAATTAGTGGGGAGTGCACCTACCCACTTCCAGCCTTTGTAGATTAGCCTACCACCAACAGTCTCAATAGTGAGAGTAGCCAATAATGAATTATATCAGGACAACTTTCCATCAGGAACTAATTAAAATCTGTTTTGAATTAAAAATACAATTTAACCTCATTTATTCCGTTAATGGTTTGCATTATTTAATTGTAATTATTTGTATAAAGGAATGACAACCTTGTAATTACAGATGAGTTTCAGATGTCCTTAAAATACTGCACTTCCTGTCTGAAAAAAAAAGAATTGCTTTGATTGAATTATAATTTTAATTTCTTTCCCTGGAAATGATTCATCTCTCCAAATATAATACATGTTCTTTCATTTTATAGTGTGTGGCATATCTATACTGTTACTTTAAATATACATAATACACTGCAACGAGCTACAGCTCATTAAAGACAAGACAAAACCACACAAACAGGACTTTCACAAGTGAAAGGAAACATAAATGAGGGAAAAGAGAATGTATACAGAGATGGATACATTCACAAATATAATATTATTTCAGGGAAGCAGGCTCAAACAGCTACAGGAAAGACAGTGAAGCTCTTCTCAACAGTATTTGTGAGAAATCTGGCTGAAATATTTTGTTTGTGAGTAATCCAAATAGAACTGCTCACAACAGAAAAGGGTTTACCATATCACATTTCTGCTTGGCAATTCACAGCTTAATTATATCTTGCTGACACCTCTGCCTTTGCATTATGGTTCTCCCAATTTATTTAACTTTGAGGAAAGCAATTTAATGTCTAAGCAGCATATATGATTTACTAGTTTGCATTTTTCTCCCACTCCCACAATGTAACCTTTAGACTGTGATGTAACTGAAAAAAATATGGGTCTCATTCTCACACTAGTTTTATCTTACTCCTGATTTTTATTTGAAAGAGTAAAGGCATATTCAGGTCCATAAACTACTTTTTTTCTAATCACATCAATCCATAAATCTTGTATAGAATAATTACAGAACATCTCAGGTCAGCTGAAAACCCTACAAATGAATTAACTGATCAGAGAAAGTGCTCCTTAACATTCAACCTGATTTCAGAAATCAAACTCCTGCCAAGGCTTCTGTTTCTGCTTCATCCTCCTTTTTAAAATTGTACTGATCTTACCATTTCCAGAAGTAAATTCATGTAAAAGCAGGAATACTAAATGTAG